GGAGCAGGAAGTGAGGTCACAGTCATCCAAACCACAGGAGCAGGGACGTGAGTTATCTGAATCTCTGTTCAGGCTCCGTGGGAGGGAGGGAGTCTTGGTGGAGGATGCTCGAAGGTTCCCAGGAAGGTGAGTACTGAGAGTAAGACTACCTGGACCCACAGACACTCTGGGGATGGCCTCTCTCTTCCCGTCTCCAGGACAACCCCTTCCGCCAGAGGATCGCCCAGGTCTTCTCTGAGGATGGGGACGGCCATATGACTGAGGACAACTTCCTGGACATGTTTTCTGTGATGAGCGAAACGGCTCCCCGTGACCTCAAGGCATACTATGCTTTCAAAATCTATGGTGTGTGCACGGCCCCAGGGTTGGGAGCCAAGCAGAGCCCCCATCACAAATGTCTCCCCAAGGGCTTCCAGGCCCTGCCCGGCCCTGTCCTCTATCCCACCCCGGAACCTCTGCACCATCCCCTTGCTCACTGCATCCCAGCAGTACTGGCCTGGCTGTTCCTGGAACACACCAAACTCTTTCTGCCTCTGGATCTTTGCCTCTGCTGTGTCCTCTGCTTAGAACATCTTTTCCTCATTTCCTTTTTATCCCTGAAGCCGAAAGCAGGCCACACCCCAGTCACTCCCCATCCCATGATCCTATTTCTCTCCTAGCACCGGGCAGTGCTGCTTAATTTCTTATTCATTAATCTGTTCATTTCTTTTTGACTTTCTGAGGAGACCCCAGGGTAGCAACAGTATCTGGTTTGTTCAGACTCTGTGTCCCGTGCCTGGCACATAGTAGGTGCTCAGTAAGTATTTATTGAATGAATGAATGAATGAGTGAATTAATTAAAAGCAGTTATCTCAGTGCCTGGCACCTAGTAGGTATTCAATAAACACTTGAGTGAGTGAGTGAATGAATGAAAAACAGTTACCATGATGTCTCACACCTAGTAGGTGCTTAATAAATACTTGTTGAATGAATGAATGAAAAACAGTTACCATGATGTCTCACACCTAGTAGGTGCTTAATAAATACTTGTTGAATGAATGAATGAAAAAGTTATCACAGCACCTGGTACACAGTAGGCACTCAATGATTACTTTTTGAGTAAGTAAATGAAAAATAGTTATCACAGTGCCTGGCACACAGTAGGCATTCAATAAATATTTTTTGAGTGAGTGAATAAATGAAAAACAGTCATCAGGGTGCCTGGCATGTAGTAGGCACTCAATAAATACTTGTTGAATAAATGAATGAACTCCCAGTGGGTCTCTGCCTGATTCCAAAGCAAGACCTAGATTCTACCCCAGGGTCTTAGGTGACTTCCAGTGACTCAGTTTCCTCCTCTGTCCATGGAGACAAGCCCAGCCCGCCTGCCACCTGCCGTCACTTCCCATCCATCCTGCTCCACAGACTTTAACGACAACTACATCCGCGCGTGGGACCTGGAGCAGACGTTGACCAAGCTGACTCGGGGGGAGCTGAGTGCCGAGGA